AGGCCCCATGGTAGTTCCTTTTGGGATTGCCTTATAGGATTCTAAATATTAACCCCCAAAAAGGAAGTCCTTGGGGGCCTATGGGTATAGTGCTTGGGGCTTAGCGGCCCGCAGGGTCCAGGGGATCTAGGGTTGAGGGGTTAGGGCTTCAGGGGTGTAGGGTTTAGGGTTTTATGGTTTTAGGGGTTTAGGGGTTTAGGGTTTAGGGTTGCAGACTTTTTGCTTAGTTTAGAGCTGAGATATTGGAATATCGAGAGCATGATTAGAGAGCGGGACTTACGCTTATGCCGGATTTTCAGCTCGAGCAGTTCCCGTGTAGATAGAAAGGTGTGAGAGTTTTTTGTAACAAGAATTGAACCAAAGCCCTGAGAACCCGATTTTATAGCAAGAATTCTCCGTCCGTGCTATGCCCCTCAAAGCCTCAGGTAGTAAACTACCTATGGTTTCCATTGTAGTCCTTTTTTTGGTTATATATATATATATACATACATATATATATATATATATAGATGAGTTTATAAGGTAGCCCCAAAAAGGAACTGCAATGGAGACCATAGGCAGGCCTGAAAATCCCTGAACTAAAGCCATCAAGCCCCAGGGCCTGAGTCTAAACTCCTCCTGACGCTGAGGCGGAACGAGCCCAGAGGCATCTTGATTAAACCCTTAGCCCTAAACCGTTTAGGGTTTAGGGTTTAGGGTTTAGGGCTTAGGCCCTAAACCCTAAACCCTCTACTGTGATCTTGCAGGGGATTGGGCTCTCTGGGTAGGGTCCTTGCCCCGTAAGCCCTAAAGCTCTGCACCCTAGAGCCCTAAACCTTAGAAGCCCAAAACCATTTTAGGGTTTAGGGTTTAGGGTTTAGGGCCTGAAAACCCTTAAACCCCAGAACCCCTCAAACCTTATAGCCGAAACCCCTCCCTGTATAAACCCCTAGCCCTTCACAGACCACTTCGGAATGCTCACCGCTCAGGGCCGTGGCGAACGGTGCAAAGCTGAGGGGTTTTTGGGTTTAGGGTTTTGAGCATCGTCTCTGGTTCTGGGTTCCGGCCTGAATAAGCCATATCTCCAGGGAGCCCGACACTCCTGAATTAAGGATTCGAACTTAAATTAGGGGCTTAATAATTAGAAAAGGGTTTCGGCTCATAATACTATAATTATAATCAGGAACCACCAAAATGGTATTGGTAATCACATCGGCCACTATATTCTGCCTTAAATCAGGGGGCTTACTGTCATGGTTTAAGATTATAGTAGACCCCAAAAAAGTTGGAAGCCGGATTAAGGACAAATAGTGCTGGGAGTCCCTATACATGACTCTTAGGGATGGGGGCTATTGGGTTTTCAACTTTTGGGCTTCTACTGTAAACTTAACCCCAAACCCCAAACCCTAAACCCTAAACCCTGAACCCCTAAACCCTAAACCCTCAACCCTCTAAACCCTAAACCCTGAACCCCTAAACTCTAAGGGGTCGTGGGCTCTCTGGGTGTGTCTATCTTCGGAATAGCAGCCTTGCCAAGTGCTCGGGACGGTTTAGGGTTCAGGGTTTAGGGGTTAGGGTTTAAATATTGCGATTTGATGTGATATGAATGGCAATACGATTCCTTAGGGTTCCTTATTATAGTTAAACTGCCACTAAACCCTAAACCCTAAACTCTGCATAGCCCAAAAGCCCTGTTCTGACCTTTATGGGCTGGTATTGTCGATTGAGGGCTGGGCCCAGAGACTCCAATATCCCTTAATTAGGGAATATACCTCAAATTATAGTAGGATCCCTAATATGATTTAAGGATATAAACCCTAAACCCTAAACCCTGGACCCTAAACCCTAGACCCTAAACCCTAAACCCTGGACCCTAAACCCTAGACCCTAAACCCTAAACCCTATATTCCTTAATTAAAGGGGATATTGGAGCCTCTGGGGGTGTTCCCGGGGTCCAGGGATGGGTTTAGGGTTTAGGGTTTAGGGTTTAGGGTTTAGGTTTTAGGGTTTAGGGTTTAGGGTTTAGGGTTTAGGGTGTGTTACCTAAGGCTGCCGAGTTGCAGGGGGCAGCTTAGGACGAAGATGGAAGTTCATCGAATCGGAGCTTCAGCCTCAACCAACTTGTAATATCAATATATTGGCTTTAGGGTGTAGGGTTTAGGGTATGTATCATGAACACTAAATACGCTAGATCTTTGCACCGGATTTCGTGTACTTAAGTAGCCCTGGACTCCTGGACCCTGCTTAGGGTAGTATACTTGGATAGTCGGGGGACTTAGTAAGTAGGCAGTAGGTAGATTTTTAAGTACCCCAAAGGGGATCCTAGTTGGCGATTATGATACGTATAGCTCCACAAGATACTACTTACAAAAGCCCCCGACCCTCCAAGTAACCCCAGTTAGACTGCAGAGCGATGCAAAGATCGGCTGAGCGCGGCAGGAAACTCAGCAGCTACGACGTAGAGAATGATTACCAAGCAACTACGACTCTCTGGTTTGAGGGTCTACGGGTTGAGTGTTCAAGGCACGGTTGAAGGTTTGAGTGGACGTTTGTCCAGCATTCGGGATGATGAGGTCCAGCGTGATCTGCTCCTCAGTGTGGGACGCTCCTGTGGTGACGTTTTGGGCCGTGCGCGGCTCAGGGCTCGCTCCTATTGGCGGCGCGTGGATGGTCACAGACGCCATGCTCACTGCCAGTCACGTTTACGACTCCTTGGCGGCGCTCCATGCCCAGGGGGCAAAGATCTTTGTCTCGCGCTGTGCGCGCGAAGTGGCCAGCGTCTCTGGGATGGTCCCGTACGAGCCCAAGTTGTACGCACGACCGGGGGTGAAGGACAGGACTCACAATCCTGTCACTGGCGATTTTGCATTCCTTCATGTGCCGAAGAGCGTTGCTCAATTGAGTGTGAAGGTTGGAAGGAAGTCTTTAGAACCTCAAAGGGGTCTGAGAAATGGACCCCGCGCATACTTGGAGGATCGGGATAAGTACCCTAAAAGGGATCCTAATGGGGGTTATGAGACTCACTACTCCGTAAGATGACTACTTACTAAGTCCGCCCACCCTCCAAGTACCGAGGTGCCGCCAGCGAAGCGAGTGCCTCGCCCAAGGACGGCCGACTGTGGTTGATTGCATCTTTTTGGGGGTCGGAAGTACTAGAAAACGTTCTTTGAAGGGTTCCTTTCAAAGGGCTCTATAGGACTATAGGGTTTATGTGTAAGGGTTACTATAAGGGTCTGATCAAGGGGTCGGAATGATTAGGGTTTTGTGGCAGATTGTCATAGCATAACCATGTCAGCGGTTTTGAAAGGAATGGTAGTGATAGGGTTTAGGGTTTAGGGTTTAGAGGACAAAATATGCCCCAAAAAATCCTATGCTAGCAGAAGGTGGTGTGGACATTGGTTTTAGCTTTGGTGTTAGAATAGCGCTCGAACCACAAGGGTCTTGGCTGTATGGTGTTGAAGGCACGCGGTTTTGCTCTTGAGGTGTCTGGGCTTGAGGTTTGGTAAGCATAGCCAGCAGAATAACGGGTCTAGCTAAGTCAGCCGCGTTTGTATTTCTCTTGGATAGCCACTGGGAAAATTAAACTTGTTAAGTTACTTATGAGGTCTATCCTCAAAAGTTGGAACTTTTTTGGGCGTGGTTGTTGAAGAAGAGCCAGAAGAAGCGTGACCTCGCAGGACCCGGGACGGGTTGCGGCTAACTGACATTCCAATCTCGGCGTTCTTCTGGTTGGGTTTTAGGACTTTAACTTTTTTTGGGTTTCTATAATATAGAAACCCATCTTATGGACTATAACAGGTAGGCTAAACAATAACTTTTAGGAGGGGTTGACAAGGCAGGCAAGTTCAGGATGTGGGGTTGCGGGATGGTGACGATGTAGACCCTACCTATAGTCTCCATGGTAGTTCCTCTTTGAGATTACCTTCTAAAACCCCCTAAGCCCAAAACCCTAAACCCTAAACCCGAAAAGGAACTACAATGGAGACTATAGGTACACCCAAGTCCCAAGCTGGACATAACAAGCAACACCCACACCAAGCCAAAGGTCTTAGGGTTTAGAGTTTAGGGAGACAGCACGACAAATGCCAACTAGTCCAAGGAGAAGCCTCACTGTGATTTTGTGGATCAGGACATGTCGACGATCACCGAAAGTTTAATAGATGTTATGCATATGTTTTTGGGCTCGGGGGGTGAGTTCGCAATGGTTTTGCAAGAGTTCTTCAAGGTTCTGTAAGGTGCAACCTCTAAACCCTAAACCCTAAACCCCTAAACCCTAAACCCTAAACCCCTACACCCTAAACCTGTTGCTTTAGCGTATTGCCACCGGTGTCTTGGTAGGGAGTTGAAGATCAGTCATCTGTTTCCCAACCCAACAACAGGGGCCGTAATATTACCTATACTACTGTTGATGGACAAAATCCTCCATGACCTTTTTTTACCTAAACTATGGGATTTATGGTACTATACTATATTTGGGTCATGCAGAATTTTGTCCATCAACAGTATTTTGGGCGCTCCTTCTACTTATAGTAATTATCATATACCCCAGAACCTTATTGAAATCATTAAGGCCCCTATATGAACGGCATTTCTGGTCACAACTGCAAGGAGACGCCGGAGCTGCCTCAGCAGCAGCGGCAGGAGCGGGTCTCGAGAACAAAGTTCTGTCTCGGAGGGCCGAGGGTTTCCCTAAACCCTAAACCCTAAACCCTAAACCATAAACCCTCGGAGGGCCGAGGGTTTAGGGTTTAGGGCCTCGGGTTTAGGGTTTAGGGCCGCATTATTTCGTAGACAATCCGCAGCCTCTACTTTTTAGAGGATCAGGAGAATTGGTAAGAAGATTCTGGATGTAGCATCTAGTGTCTTGCAGGTCGCCGGCCCTACGCTCTGAACAGAAAGGGTTATTATGGTGGAGTTTGTGTCACTGTACGCGTAGTTCTGCCTATAGTTCCCATGTTAGTTCCTTGTCTTGTGCCTTTTTTATATCTAGCATGCGCATCCTATAAGGTAACGCAAAAACGGAACTACAATGGAGGCTGTAGGTACTTATAACCGACATGCCAAGACATGTTGTCCTGCAAGTAGGCGGTGCATTCTTTAAGGTTTCCACCCCCCAACATTGGCGGTTTAGGGTTCTCTTGCTCCCTGAGGGGTGCCCTTACTTCCTTCTGGTTGTGGGGTTTAGGGTTTAGGGCCTCCCCATTGAAACCCCACAGCAGGAGAAACGGTACCTTTCATCACAGGGAATGGTTACGGAACGTTTGATCGTTTGGGCCGTTCTTTTGGGCACTGCGGGTTCCCTGAAACACCGCCACTGGACCTAGTAAGGGTTTAGGGTTTCGGGGCTTAATTCATTTTAAATGTACCTCTAGTCTGCATAGTAGTTCCTTTTGTTGGATAGTTTATCAAATCCTTAACATATATTTGCTTAAACCAAAGAAAGGAACTACAATGGAGACTACAGGTAGTATTGGTAATTATTTAGGCCCCTATATTACGCCGCACTGTCCCAAACCCGCAAGCTTGGATCCACCGTAGCCCAGGGGTTTCGGGGCTTAAAATGTGTATTCCCGTGGATTTGTAACATGAAGCCATAAACTTGCTTGGCCATGGAGCTGGCAGCCTAGAGCTCAGTGTTTTTGCTTGAAGTTCCCGTAAAGGAGCCCTTTAGGAAACCTTAAAGGAGCCCTTAAAGGAAGCCTTAAAAAAGACTTGCAGGAACCCTAAGCACAAGATGTGAGAAGAAGTGGCCGGGGTTACACAGAATAGTGGATAGGTCTCTTCAGTTGGGTTCCCTATTATAATCATAAGACGTCACGAAGTATCCAGCCTGGTAGTACCCTTGGTTTGTTGGCCCCTAAAGTAGCCTTAACCCTAAACCCTAAACCCTAAACCCTAAACACTAAGGGTCTAGGGCTTAGTGTTTAGGGTTTAGTGTTTAGGGAGTAGCACCAAAGATGTTCAATGCCTTCGCAGGCGGCGGATCTCCTGGATCTTCATGACCTGCAGGTGCAGCTTGATAAAGGAGTTGGAATACTGTCTGGTGCTTAGTAGGGAATGGGGGAATGGGTTATAGGGACTACTATAAGGGACCTTAAGAGACTGTCATAGGCATCCATTCCCCCATTCCCTACTAAGCACCAGACAGAATACTGAAGAACACTGGTTCGACTAGGGCTTTATGGGTTTTGCAAATTTAGAGTTTAATATAGGGCTCGGAATCACTGCTACCTGTACCCAGTTCCGAGGCATGTTACAAAGTAATGTGATAGAGGCTGTAGCCGCGAAGGCGGAGATGATTCGGAGGACGGCTAGATTGTAGAAATTATTATAGACGGCTGATAGTTATGCACACAATAACACACCTCAAGCCCAAGTGTCTTAGCAATCATGATACAGGCGGATGTACTCATAGTGGCATTTTTCCTAGCTGTCCTATTACAACCGACTTCCCAGTTCCCAGAGATGTTGTTAATCTGGGCTTTTGGAGTACCATACTTTAATACTTTTTTGGTGGACCTGTTCCCTTTTGGAGTACCATACTTTAATACTTTTTTGGGGGACCTGTTCCCTAAAGGAACCATTATAAATGAAAAGTCTATAGCAATCAGTAATATTGTCATTCCCTCACAGTCTATGCAGTGCATGATACCCGAAACCCCAATCAAACTGTCAAGGCCCTTTTCTTGCGCAACATGCCGCGATCCGAACACCGATAATCAAGATGCAGTGGTTGGCTGTTCGCTGACATGGGGCAGCGCGATGTCAGCCCGATCGCCAGGTCATTCGTTTGCACATGGAACCTTAGGGCACCGCAGTTTTGGATAATCTGCTGCTATTTTGCCGCGCTGGGTAAACAAACATGTGGAAGTGCGCCTAAGCAACCAAATACGATAACAAAACAGAGGTTTAGGGCTTCGGGTGTAGGGCCTAAACCCAAAGCCCTAAACCCGACAATCCCGTACAAAAGCGTCAAGGGATCCAAAGCACAGTCAAAAGTGTATGGCTTGGTTGTTTAGGGCTTAATGTCTCGGGGTCTAGGATTCGTGGTTTAGGGAGATCCCCAAGATTGATTTAGACTTTATGGCTTGATTACGGATTCTTGGTCTTAGAGTCGTGGAAGGTTTGATGTCTAGGCGTCTGGGATTTCGTGGTCCGAGTTTGAGCTTGTGGGTTATCTGGAGAGCACGGCAAGCTACGTTTTGCAGAGTCCGTAGAAGCACTACACTAGATCAGGGTTTTGCATCGCGACCCTACAGAAGCATTTTTTGTTAATGAAGGGTTTTGGGCAGTAGTTTCGCCCATAGATCCCTGCACTTCCACATGCTGACCCCCTCAAACTGGGGCTCTTCTTGGAGTTCGCGCAAGTAGGTTATACGTAAGTTTGAGCAGACTTAGCGGCCACCCTTACTTCTGAACCTTAATATATAAGCACTAATAACTCCGGGGATGGCACTAAACCCAAAACCCCTAAACCCTTAAGCCTTAAACCCCTAAAACCGACTTACTATGTTCTCTGGTACCCGTCGAATCTCAAGGCCCAAGCCCGAGGATGCAGCCCTCTCACTAATAAACTTCCCTCCTCCAATAAGGGTTCTTGGCGTTCTTCTGGCTGGCTCTTAGGACTTTAACTTTTTGGGTTTCTATATGAATTATAATAAGTAGGCTAAAGTTTAATCTTTTGGAGGGGTTCAGAAGTCAGCCAAGGATTAACCTTAAACCCTAAACCCTAAACCTTCACCTACACCCTATACACCCTTATTAAGTCCACCAAAATCTAGGTTATTTGGGCGCAGTATATACTGAAATCATAGTACTGAACCCGAAAAAAGAAGGTTCTCTAAGGTCCGGTGCACACTAACACCCTAAACCCCCATGCTCTGCGCAGGTTCACCCCAAAACCTGACATGGACTTGGCGTTCTTCTAGTTGGCTCTTAGGACTTTAGCTTTTGGGGGTTCTATATGAACTGTAATAAGGAAGCTAAAAGTTTAACTTGTTGCCCTAAACCCTAAATCCCTAAACCCTAAATCCTAAACCCTAATCCCTAAACCCTAAAACCCTAAACCCGAAACCCTAAGTCAGCCAAGTAGCGCTTCATCTGTCAGGGCCCAGACCTCGGCGCCTTGCTGGGAGATCAGCCGCAGCGGATCTCTCAGCCTTTGGAGAGTTTTGGGTTTTTGGGTTTTTGGGTTTTGGATTTTGGGTTTGGG